TTAAATTTCATTCAAATATAGTGGACACAAATGAAACAACAATTAATTTTTACTAATTTCATGCAATCAGTTAAACAACACGATCTGTTTTCATGTATGAGCAATCGAAAACACTCTGAATCGCATCACGTGCATCAAACTCGCCCTTGCCCCAACATTCCTCTGGATATTCGACATCGATGTATAAAATTTGTCCCTGATGAGTTACACCAATCCCAAGTTGTTTGCACGAGACCGGAATCGGCTTGGTTGCATCCAGAACTTCAAATGCCTGCTAAATCTCACTAACATCATTATCATTCTGTATTACATTCTCTACAAAAAGCGAACATATTCAGAAATGGATCGTGTGGTACTTTTTATCGAAGTGAACACTCCGCTGATAAAGCTCTCTGTGATCATAGCTTTCCCATGGCTTTTTTGAGATTTGTTTAAAGACAATCTAACTCGAAATAACCGGGCTAATTTTTGTATTAAAAGCGTAATTTCACAACATCACCGCATAATTTCTTGGTGTTTTCAAAAGATTTCTTTTTTTACATTTTACTGGCTTTACAATCCAGCAACTGGCCGGCGTGGTCCAGTGACAAGTGGTACTTTTCTCGTTCAGCTGATTGAGGGTTTTGAGTTTGTCACTGGGAAAACCGGTTCCTCTACTATTTCGCTCATTGTTTCGATGCAAATTGGTGTCAAAACAAGGCAAGGAGTGAAACTCGCCATTAACTTATTTGTATGCAACCGTTGAAAGAAAGAGCCATCGTTAGTCTAGTCAGCAAGTAGTCGAATGCTTTCGAGTTTCACAGGTGAGTGATTACAAGGGGATTTAACAGCCTGACAGACTTTTTCGCTGTAAAATGGAATTCATCCTATAACTTTGATGGCTATGTCTAACATCGTGTTGACGAGATTTCTGCCCTAAATTTTTTTGGGTTGGCTGTGCATTCGCACAAGGCACATTCATCATCGGGCGGTTAAATGAATAGTACCAGTGATCGGTACGTAAATGCAGCTGATACTGATCGATTGTGAATCATCCAGAGAAGTGAGTTTATTAAATGAAGAATTGAAAACATACCGGATGCGCATATGCAAGGCAAATCATGCATCCTGCGAAAACAACGACTGCGAGCTTCATGTTTTCAAGTTCTGCGGCCTGAAATTTCCATAAATTATCGCCCAGTAAGGCCTTGCATAGAGTGCACTTGTTTTTCCGCGTACACAGTTGCCTTACTTTTACTGCATTAATAACCGTTACCCGAGTCAGGTAAAACCAAGGATAACCTTCCCCGCGCCGTTCCTACTGATATTGGTTTTTGGAAAACAGAGCTTAGCCGGCGCAGAAACTCTTTGGCACATTAGAAACTGCCAGAATTTGAACCCCGCCATGCCTCGAACTGCCTAATCCACTACCATTCTCATAAAACGAGGAGGTGATTGGGTCGGAATTTTGTGAAAAACTTGAAGTCTCTCGGTATTTGTGAGTGACTGAGTGTTGTGGTTCTGATTAACACGAAAAGCTTTACGGCGAGATGTGTTGCGGGAAGGGAAACTATTTGTATTTAGACAGCGATTCCATTACTGTCAAATTTAAAAAATTCAGGCTTGCCAAAGTGTCAAGGTCATTTTCTACGTTATTTTATATCTGAAAGCCCGTTTCTAATCTTCGAAATATTTCTAGATCCTTCTAGGAGCTATTTTATCCAGTACCATGGAGCAAAGTTAAAACTAACGAAAGACTAACCCCGTTATAGTTTTCTAACCGCAAAAGTTTCTGTGTTCATACCATTTCACTTAACCGTGATCGTCAGGGTAGTAAGTGTAACAAAATACGGCCGCCCAAACAATCAATATAAGTAT